TCATTTGCAGCAACATGGATGGAGCTGGGGGTTAGTAGCCTTATCAAACTAACACAGGAACAGAAAAACAAATACCACATCCTCTCACTTATCAGTGAAGAGCTAAACATTGGGCACAAACAAGGGAACAACAGACACCAGGCCCTACTTGAGGATGGTAGGAGGAAGCAGGGTGAGAATCAAAAAACTAACTTGGGTTTTATGCTTATTACTTAGATGATGAAATAATCTGTATACCAAGCCCCATGACATGCAATTTACCTATATAACAAACTGCATATGTACCCCTGAACCTAAAATAAAAGTTAAAAATACATATTTGCTCAATAATAATAATTTTAAAAAGAAACTGAGATACAGTGGCACTGAGGAGTTTGGCTAACACTCACCATGATGAATTGTTCTTCAACTTTTGAGAGACAAAGAAGAATAGACTTTTTAATCCACTGATCCATTTTACTAGAAATTTCTAAAAAGTCTTCTAAAAGGAGTTCTTAAAAAAGAAATCTGTAGAAAAACAAAAGCCTTCTTAGTAGCATAACAGTATAATTTTACTAACAAAACTGGAAACAAATATGTGCTTTCAAATAGAGAAATGTATAAATAAACTGTATCAAATTGATTCAAAAGATATTATGCAGGCATTGAAAATAACAAATATATAAATTATTTATCTGTTTTACAGTTTAGTTTACTTAGTGTTTGATATCTCATTTGAAGATTGGAGATACAAATAAAAATGCTTATAAAATATTCTAAGCAAAATAATGAAGCAAAATTTTATATGTGTACTATGACTACAACCACATAAAGCTCTACACATGAACAAGATTGGAATATATATATATATATATATATATACATATATATATACACACACTTTTATATTTGTATGCAGATAAATAGGCATAGTGTACAGGTGATAAGCATGTACATATAATTTTCTTTAATATTAAGATCTTTAAATTTAAATAGAAACTTGCCTTCATAGTAAATTCCTAAATTTTGAACAAATATGATCATTATCTTGAGTGGATTAAACTGAAAAACTTGTCTTTTTAATGATAAAATATAATCCATAAGACAAATAGTTTACTCTTATGATTATTTTGAGACAGGGTCTCATTGTGTTTCCCAGACTGGAGTGCAGTGGCACAGTCATAGCTCACTGCAGCCTCAAACTCCTGGGCTCGAGTAATCCCCCTGCCTCAGTCTCTTGGGTAGCCTATAGACTACAGGCACGTGGCATCATGCCTGTTTAATTTTTTTAAAATATGTTGTAAAAAAATATCTCACTATGTTGCCATGCCCATGCTGGTCTTGAACTCTTGGCCTCAGATGATTCTCCTGCTTCATCTTACAGTGATGGGATTACAGGTATGAGTCACCATGCCCAGCCTATTATTTTTATATGAAGGCATAAATTATTAAATTTTCAATTACTTTTTAATCAACCAAGATGAGATTTAGAATAATATCAGATCGTTACATAAAAATATAATTTAAGTGTATTCAAACCTTATTCAGCTTCCAAAAATAACTTGAATAATATTATTCTGGTTAAAGAGTAGGAATAATGCAAACCTACACGTTAGTTTGGTTAAAGGCCAACAGAAGATAGAACGTATGTAAAAATATTTACCATTTTTCTTAAGAGAGTTTATTGGTGACTGTTGTTTTGAAAACATCACGTTTATATTTTTGAGCCTCTAGCTCAATCGTATCTAAGAGCACAGTGAACTTCCGATTTCATTTGTGTTGACTTTCTAGTTAAAGAATAAATCCCTTTCCTTTGAAATGTAGCCTTGGTCAGCTGATGGAGCATTTTCTCCAAATATGCATGTTAGGAAAATTTGTTTCAATTTAAAAAGGAAACACGTGGCTATGACTTAACTATTAAAAAGTGAAATGTTCAATTGATGTGGATTTGGTCTTTCTATTTTTCCAGTCCCTCAAATGTTATTTCAACAAACCACCAAATGAGTAGCGGATGAATGAATTGTAGGCTGAATCCAAATTTTCTGACTTGGCTTAAGGCTTTTGTGCTGAAGACTCTGTCCCCAGAGCCTGGCATACATTGAGTTTGCCATTTAATTAACAAGCCGATGTTGTTTATTTTTTGTAATTCTGAGTTATTTACCAGCTGGCTCCTGGTTACGTCAGAAAGACGTAAAGAATGAAAACAAAAATACAAATAGGATACAGGTAACATCAGCAATGTAATCTCTCCCTATGCACCTGCTCGCCTCCAAACCAACCTATGTTGCTATTACAGAGATCTCTCTGAAATATGTGCTCATGCAACATAATATGTTAGAAGACAATACAATTTCTTGATTATAAATGTGTTAATTCACCATGTCCTTTTTAAATATAAGCAGTTACCCCAAGACTGTGATTATACATTCGTGAATGTATGTCATGCTGTTTATACTGATACCATATCCATTCTCTTCGTGTTTGAGTTTATTCACGCTTACTCCTGCACACACATACACATGCCTGCCATATTCCCTCTATCACTTTTTATATTTTAAAAATCAGTGAACTCCAAAGTACTCTATATTTTCCTTATATTATAGCACTGCAGCATCTAGAATTTTGTTATGTGTACCATGAATACTTTTAATGCAGATGGTGAGAGTAATGGTAATAACATGTCTGAAAACTGGAATTTTTCCACTTGTAGTGATTATAAGCATGGCAAATTAACTCTGTCAAAAAATTTTCAAAAATTATCCCTTATTATGAACCAGAGTTACTATTGTCTCTCTTTCTTTCTTTTCTTTTTCTTTATTTCACTACATTGTAGTAATAGTGATTGAAAAACATTTAGAAAATGCTAAAAGATCTAGAAGAAAATAAAATTGCTGTAATTTCGCTGCCTAGAGATAAAAACTACTAATATCATAATGCATATTTTTCAGATTTTTCTATATATTGAATATTTATTACAAAGTTTGGATCACATTGTACACTATTTTCTAATATGCTGTACTCAGTAATGTATCATAAAATCTCTTACAAAATCCTAACACAGTTCTCTAATTTCAGTATGATTGCATCATGGAATATGGATGTACATTTAGTTATTTAAGGACTAGGGGTATTGACACTAATGTTTTTGAAGTTTCCATCAACTGAATCCTTGTCATCAAGGATTCAGTTGATGGAAATAGGAGCACTTATGTTCCTGTGTGTCCCAGGCTTCCTGACAGAACCCCACATGCAGTGCTCTGATGGAATAGCAGCTGATACTGTTATCACTCAGCTCAGGCAGCTGGGTGCCTAAGGGCCTTTCCTGTCCATGAGCCACCTGACTATAATGGCTTATGTTTTAGGTGTGTGTGTGGTTGGAGGGGTGGGGTGCAATTATACTACAAGGCTGTATTTTTAAAAGATTTCAAATATGTTGAATGACCTTGTTTGTACATCTTAAAATAGCTTTAAGTGCCCAGGAATTCCTTCTCCAGAATTCACAAAGGGATAATCTTCAGGTTCCTTCCTTCCTTCTTCCCTTCTTTTTTTCTCCCTGCCTTCCTTCCCATCCTCCCTCTGTCCCTTCTTTCCTTCCTTCCTTCCTTCATTCCCATCCTCCCTTCCTTCCTTCTCATCCTCCCTCCCTTCCTTTCTTCCTTCCCTCCCTCCCTCTCTCCCTCCTTCTTCCTTTCCTTTCCTCCCTCCGTCCCTCTTCCTTTCCTTCCTCCATCCCTCCCTCCCTTCCTCTCTCCCTTCCTTCCTTCCTGCCTTCTTTCCTTCTTTCCTTCATTTCTTTCTTCTTTTTCTTTTTCTAAAACCACTTGAATATATTTAGGAAGCTTTGAATGAAAGCAAGACATTTATTCTTTACATCTTAAGGTAGGAAAGGCATTAAGAATTACATCTATTCCCACCTAGAAAAATATTACTTAATCTAACAAAATACCACAATTATATTTAGAAATACAATAAACTATGAATGCTCAGGAGGTGTTCAATGTCATGGTTTTAACTCTATACCTGTGCCACATTTTCTAGAATAAGTTAAGAGACCTCACACACATTGTCTTTAAACATCCGTGTAAGATGGTTGCTAAAAGCATTCACATTTTGAATTACTTTCACTTTTTTGCCTAAATGACTTTCAGAGTTTCGACAGTATTCACTCTTCACAGTTAATAAGTATTATCATTTGGAGTTTTTTCTAAGGCCTAAATTAAAAAGCCAAATGGGAGGGAGTGGCAGGGAAAATGTGTTAGAAAACTACTTGTCTTCATTAGTTCACACACTAGAAACAACATCTGACTCATTCATGAACCCAGTTCTACTCTAAGTGGAAAGACTATGAGGACTTTGGGCCAGACCTTCTTGAGTATCTGTGTGAAATGAAACACTGTCTCTAGGAAACATCAGGAAGGTATCATTACTGGGCAAAGTAGCAGGAACCAAATAGAAAACCAAAACATCTTATTTATTCTCATTGACTGCAAATGTTGACCGATTCTTCTGGATGCTTTCTTCTTCATACTTTTAAACTTCAGTGCAAGTATCTTTTCCATATATGATTCTAAAATTGAGATCTTAAAATCCAAAAGAGAAAAAAAAAACATGGAGGTTCAGAGACAAAGGGAGGAAGCAATGTGCTCTTTTATTCTGCCATAGTAATTACACTAGGGAAATAACTAGCAGTAGCATTTGAGAAACGAAATACCCGGCTGGGTTGGTGGCTCATGTCTGTAATCCCAGCACTTTGGGAAGCCGAGATGGGTGGATCACCTGAAGTCAGAAATTCAAGACCCACCTGGCCAACGTGGCAAAACCCCGTCTCTACTAAAAACAGAAAAATTAGCCAGGTATGGTGGCATGTGCCTGAAATCTCAGCTACTAGCAAGGCTGAGGCAAGAAAATCGCTTGAACCTGGGAGGCAGAGGTTGCAGTGAGCCGAGATCATGTCACTGCACTCCAGTCTGGGCAACAGAGCAAGACTTCCACTCAAAAAAAAAAAAAAAAAAAAAAGAAAGAAAAAGAAAAATGTAAAGAAATACTTTAGTGGGGCAGTATAATAATTTGAAGAAAGTGCCTTAAACTGTTTACACTTTTATTATTTTTCAATTGAGATATCTGAATGATTGAAAACTGACTTCAGATATAATTTAAATATTTCTCTTACAGCTGGAAATGACACTTACTTAAAGGGTAGAACAGAGACACACACATGTAGTCCTGCAGTTCAGATTCTGCTTCTAGTTTTCTAATAAAATTTGTTGAAAGAACCTGCCAATTTATTAACATCTTCAAACCCAGGAGGCTGAAAATTATGGCTACTGTACTATATTCCACACTGCAGTTGAAAAAAAGTCTTCTGCTTCATCTGAGGTCAAGAGATTGCTTTGCTTCCTTAAGAGCATTGTTAAGGGTCTGATAATTTAAGAAATTTAAGATAAAATAATGCATGTGTGTATGTTAAAGAAAAAGCAGAGTAATAGTCTACTATATAGAAAGACTTCTAAATTGCTTTTTCAATTGAAAAACAAGCAGGACTCAATTTAAAAAATAAGTATTGGCACTGATAATAAAAATTGATTTTTTCTCTCTGCATCTTGCAATGAGTTCACTGTTTAAAAAAATCAGAACTTATTTTTCTAAAAATCTGTGGACTCTGTAAAAGTTAACTTGCCTAATCAATATGCTCAAGAAGTTTTCTGAGCAACTTGTATTTTTGCCTTCCCTATTCACACTATATAAAAACCACACTTTATTTCCTTTCTTTTTCTGAGAAAGCTTTAAATTAACTAATTTACTCAGTCTATGGAATTCTAGGCCATGTAGATCTTGATTGTACTTCTAACTTCACCACTCACTCTTTAACAGTGTACAGGCTAATTATGCTCATCTGTAAAATAAGAATAACAGATATTTCCTAGGATTATTATGAGAGCTAACTGAGATAATATGCCTAAAGTTCCCAGCTCACAGCCCTGTGGGTCTCATAAGACAGGTGGCCACACTGTTAGTTCCTTTCCTGTTCTCCACCTGTCTCCCTCTCCTGTTCCCCACCCCTCTCCACAACTTAACCTCAAAATAATGCATAAGTAATTGTAGGGAAATTAGCATGAGTGCCCAAATGCATGTGTGACTGAATTAACTCAGCAGTGAACTTGGCATTCCATAGCTAACCTTTCCCCTTCATTAATCCCCTTCTCCAGCCCCCTCAAACACAGAAGTACAACAGGACACCAGGTGAGCTATGTAACCAGCCATGCACGTAAGCATTTTCTACCAGAGTTTCGACTAGTCTTGTTCTGCCTCAAACACTAGACAGGGCTCATGTTGCTCACAGTTAACTGACTCTGGCCATGTGGTGGCTGCCCTCAAGGTCCGCCACAAAGAGAACAGCAGTTCAATAAAATCTTGAACTCTATTTATAGCCCACTTGAAACAAGCAGTTTCCTTGAAGCCCAAGAAGCCTTCCTTGAGAATGCAGCAAGTAATTTACTAGTCCCAGTACTAACTGGGGAGATAGAGGGGGGGACATGCAGCAAGTGCATTTTTTCAAGTACTGCACATATAGAAAGCATTTTCTCCTACACTCTGTCCCATTTCACCCTCATGTCCCCAGCCAAGGAAGAAGACAAAACAGGCACTAGTAACAAATCCCTGTTTTATAGATTACAAAATTGATGCCTAGGGGCTTAAATTGCTAATGAACAGTGGTGGTTGGAGAAAGAGGTAAAACAAAATGTCTAAAGAGTCAGAATAATTTCTTGCTCATGCAATCAATGTAAAATTCAGTAAGTCATTATTTTCCTATTAAAAAATGTATACAATAAAGAAGAAGTGTTTTGTAAAGCACATGCAAGATTAAAAAATGTTATCTCTCCACTTCTAAGAAGATCAAAATATGAGAAATAAAAACTTAGAGAGACTCTACAGGGAAATATTTATTAAAATGTTTGTATCTATTTATAATATATATTCAGAGTGATTATATTTTTTGGCAAGAAATGTCTTCTTAAAGACCCCCCAAATTAAAATGTGCATAATTGAGACTAATTTTGAAAAATATGATAGGAATTTTTATGAGAAATTTTAATTGACTCTGTCAGTCAGCTCTGAAATAAATACATCTTTACTATTTTTTTTAATATGGGAGTTTGAATAATTCCAGTATGTATGCAAACACAAGACTTTATTATATGAGTTTATGGGCCAGAAATCACTTTGCTCTTAGAATTAATTTGATTTTGGTAAATATTTTAATTTTCTACAACCCTTCTTTGAGCCCTGTTACCTGGAAACCTGAAAATAATAAACAACTTTTTGGCTTGAGAGGGATGTCTGGGCAATTGGAATAGCTACACTGAAGTCTGTGTGTGTGAGTGTGTGTGTGTGCGTGCATGCGCATGTGTGTATTTAGAGAGAGAGAGGTTATTGCCTGGGTTGGTTGCTTGGCTTGGTGCCATTTGGGATTCTCAGATTTACTGCGTCTCTGACCTCCTATTGTCCCAGCTCTGATTTATGGAGTTCAGAATCTCGAAAGGCAAGGTGTCTGGAGTTTAGGGTCTTTCCATGACAGCCCCTCCTCTTCCCTGTATACTCCTTTTGCTTGTGGTCACCTTGTGGTGACCTTGCAGGACTCAGCGTTTTTACCTGAGCTTAGTAGCTGGGGAGCCCACTAGTGCTGGGGAGCGAGCCGTGGTTTCCATTCCTGGGTGATGGAGTCATGGGAGAAACTGCAGTGAGCAAACACAGTAGGACCTGAGTTGGGCTCGAATGTGCTTTAAGCGGCTCAGGACAGAGCAGCTGCTCTGTCTCCCAGCTTGAAAGTGCAGCCTGCATTTGTCACTGACCACTGAAGTGTATGTTTGGGCAAGGTGAGAGCTGGGTGCTTTGTTCTTAATTTGGAGACAAATTGCCAGGTATTGTTGTTGATTGTGTTTGATAATTTGGGGATATTTATATCACCACAAATTCAGGACCTAGACTGTGTGTGGTTTTATTTATGCCCTTGTTTTCTGTCATGATCCGTTCAGCTCTCCACGGTGTCCACATTGTGGCAACAGATTGGACACAGTGCTATTCTTCCACGCTGAAATGTGATCATTCTACTGCAGTGTTTCTTGGATTCTTTCGTTAATCGCTGCTGCCGCATGATATATCTGTTCATATACAGAATCCCAGTGCTAATGTGAAGGCACATAAAAACTGCTTCTGATAAAAGTCTGAATTGCTTTATTTGTTTAGAGCTTGCTGTGGTGTATTCTTTGCTTTACACTTATTTTAGTGGCTGAAACTTTGAGAGAGTAGAGTGCCTTAGAATTTGATCTGATGACAGAAGCAGTGGGAATTTTCTGTGTATTTGCTTGTCAAAATGAAAACTTCTACTTGGCCATTTGTGTGTGTCTGTGTGTGTGTGTGTTCATGTGTTATTTTAAAAAAAAGAGAGAGAGAGAACCAAAAGAAAAGCAAATAATACTTGCTATCTTTTGGTGTACTTACAATTAACTTAATCAACCTATAAAGCTTTTGTTATCAGCATATTTGAATTTTGTAACGTTACATTCTGTGTACACAAGACAATACAACAGCTATGTGAGCATGTAAAAGTAAATGGGAATGTAGAGGATTACTCACGATGAGTCTGTTACAACAGGAATTAAAATCATGCTCTTGGGTTAATATACCTTAATCATGGGTGAGTTTTGTATGTTGGCTACTTAAGTGAACCCATAAAATATATAAAGGAGATACTTTTTAAATATCTAAATAAATATATAGGAGATTTATATTCATAAGGCTCACATTCTAGAAAAGAGAAAAGTATAGGAATTTGGTACTGTGTAAATAGAAGAAGAAAAAGATATCAGATTTTAAAATGGAAAAGAAGACAATACATTAAAATGAGGAATAATTATGAGAGAATGCCAAAAAGTACTTTAACTGCTCAAGTTTTTATGTCTAATGAAAGAACAATTGAATACTTAAAAAAAAATTAGAGTCAGCAGAAATGAAGCCAAGAACAAGAATTCTTAATAAAACATGTCAACCTGTGGAATGTACTTGTCAGTTTTAATTAATTTGAATTCTATTGCTAAGATTAATAAAATGAGAAAGAAAAAAGGAAATTTTAAATTTTTATTTAAAATTGATCTGCATTTTCATAGACTTTAAAAAATTATAAAGTAAAATAAACTTTATTAAAAGGCAATGAACATTAAAATTATTCAAAACAATAAATAACATATAATATCAAAATCATCTGTCCCACTTTTAAAGTATGTCAGTTTAGAAAGAAAATTCTAAAACTGTAAACTAGATTGCCACCTGTTCCTACATGCACGTGGAATGCCAAGTTCCTGGGATACTCTCTTCATGGTTTCTTGCTTTCAGAGTCTATATAAGATCACTGTGTTATGCTGAGCAGAAACACCTGACTCTAACACTGAATGCTTTCTATGAGAGTTAAGAAAATGTTTCATTTCACAGATGTGGAACTTGAGGTACATAAAGAATTAATGATCGGCATTTCCATATGGGAACCTGTACTATATTGGCTTTTCACAATCTAAAATTTGGCTGCTTCTTGAAAGGAGTTTAACATGACTATCACCATGACTGAAAGGATGTAGAGGAAGGCCTCATATAACTGCTTTATAAACACATGCCCATTCATCCTTCTGTGAGGACTACAGTCCAGTATGTTCAAATGCGGCATCCATGTGAACCCATGGGCAGCTTCTATGTAGAAAGGCTAGAAAGTTAGTCACCTATTTGATGAACCATACTCAGTGTATACAGACAAGAAAAGCCTTTAATAGTGTCTGTGTTTATTCTTTAGATAACTAGCTTACCTCAACATGCAAAGAGGTTTAAAAAGGTTTAGAGATTATAGGTACTGACCTCAGAGCACATGCCAGTCTGTTCAAACACATTTACTTCTATGCAATTAAGTTCTCCTAGTTAAGGGGAAAGATTAACCTTTGTTTATATATTTGATAAGTATCTCTAATTTTCTAAAATGCTTAAACTCTCTAATACATTGTGTCCTTGCTTTCTTCCTTCTTTCAGCTTTACACTTTTATTCTAGATTTTAAACTCACTAAGTTCTTCATTTGCTGAGCCTTCTTTCTTTTGACCTACACTCAATTTCTATACCTTGGACAAGGAAGCAGTTATGATTTATCCCTTTGGACTAGGGAAAATCCTACCTCCCTTGAAATCAAGAGATTACTGCCCACCATCTGAGTAGAAAATGGGAGGGTGAGTGGGAAAGAATGAGATTAGTGGCTACCAGGCAGCAGTGACCACTGTGTCCATTGTCCCTAGCATTTCTGCTATTCATACTTTTTCAATCCATCTAGTCCATTGCTAGGCTTGGAAACCTACATCAACAATTGTTTATACATACTGACGTAGTTACACTTCTACAAAGGCCTTTGGTAAACTGACACTAAATATGATTTTTAGCATATGGGAGTGGCTTACAGCACCATCCATCATTTTTATGTCTCTTTACCTTAGACACTAAGTTCTATTTTGCCTACTAACTCTTCCCAAAGCAGTATAGATTCAGATAATATAATGGGCACTCACACAACATTTAACTAATACTTCTAGATTCCTTAAAGTAGGCCTCGGTTGTTTGAAGAGAAGAAGCCTGGAGAGCAGGGTGTGGGGTGTGCTTATTCCTCTGGTGGTGGTCTTCTGAGATCATGGTGTTCTGACAGTCACTGGGCTCCTCAGTGGACCCCAGCTGTAAGGATTTGGCAGCTGGAGTAGGAGCAGATGGCAGCAGGTGATTCTCCGTTAGAAACAGGGAATATAAACGTTTTCTGCAAGTCTGCTCAAGAGCCCTGCCTCATTTATCTTGAATGCAGTTTGTCTTCTGAGGAAATAGAATGAACAGCCTGGTTGCTAAAATATGACTGCCTGTCATTCTTGGCCCCGCCACAGGATTTACCTCCTAAAGTCATTATCTCAAATACGTATATAGTTCCTGCTTTTTAAACATTTAAGTTATTTCTATTATACTAGGTAAGGCCTCAAATAGGATCCCAGTGCCTACCTATGTTCCCCTCAATAGCCATGCATCACCATAAGTAATAAATAACTTTTAACAGCATTGATGATCAATACAATATAAACTCTTTACACATTGATAGCTCCAAAATTCTTAACAATATGTAATTTAAATAATCTGTAAAACAATGTAATCATAACTTCCAAATCAAATATTTCCCTTTTTTTTTTTGAGAGGGAGTCTCGCTCTGTCACTGAGGCTAGAGTACAATGGCACAATCTCGGCTCACTGCAACCTCCGCCTCCTGGGTTCAAGCGATTCTGCTGCCTCCGCCCCCTGAGTAGCTGGGATGACAGGCATGTGCCACACGCCCGGCTGATTTTTGTATTTTTAGTAGAGGCAGGGTTTTCACCATGTTGGCCAGGCTGGTCTCAAACTCCTGACCTTGTAATCCTCCCCCCTTGGCCTCCCAAAGTGCTGGGATTATAGGCGTGAGCCACCGTGCCCGGCCAACTTCCAAATATTTCTAATGGGCAAGGAGCCATCAATAGAAAGTTATTGCAAAGTTTCCTATTTATAGGCATATTTGACTTTAAGGCAATTTTCAAAAACACTACTCCAATATATTAAAATCAATAAATAGAGAGACTTTTACATGCTCTCTAATATTTTTAAAGATAAGCATGCTTTAAATAGTTTTATGATAAAGTATAAAACTCACTGGAGCGTGTTCCTTCTCCAACTCTTATTCTTGTACAGTGGGGTTTCCTTTGACTGATAGCTTATCAGAACACACCAGTGTGTTTCAGAGGGATTATTTTGTGGCTATAAAGAAAGGTCTCCACCTGGTGCAGTGGTTCACGCCTATACTCCCAGCACTTTGGGAAGCCAGGGTGGGAGGATCACTTGAGCCCAGGAGTTCAAGACTGGGACAACATAGCAAAACATGGACAACATAGCAAAACTCAGTCTCTACTAAAAATACAAAAATTAGCGGGACATGGTGACACATGTCTGTAGTCCAGAGTTCTAGGGAGGCTGAGGTGTGATAATCACCTGAGTCCAGGAAGTCGAGGCTGCAGTGAGCTGACATCACACCACTGCAATCCAGCTTGGACAACAGAGACTCTATCTAAAAACAAAAAAAACAGTATTTCCTCTTCCTTCTAAGTCTGTAAGACTGTATTTTTAAACATAGGTTTTATTATTATTCAGGAAAGGTGAGACCAATAGATCAGGAGGTGATTGCTATTGAAAAGGCAGTTTGTCACTCTCAAGTTCCCAAGAAGAGAGGGGGAGGCGACACATGTGAGCCATACAGGGAAGCACCAGGGTCAGTCAGAAGCAGAAGGAACCAAAGGAAAACAGGGGCGAGAGCCTTTTGTGTTTTCCATGGGCAGGAACAAATAAGGTCGGGTGAGTAGGCTTAGAATTGTCTGGTTTGTATAATTTTGGTGGGCTCAGTGGTGGGAGGATTATCTCTAGTTGTCTAGTACCTGGCCCTGGAGTGATTCGAGCAGAAGGATAGTGGCCCAGAGCATGAGAGCCTGATAGAGGCGGTGGTTGGGGTATGGGTTCTGGATTGGTTAGTTTGCATGTGAAAACACACTGCCAGCTAAGTCTTTTCCTATTACTAGGCATTGGCTAGCCCTGGATGGGGCAGTCTCTTCAGGCCCACAAGGCCACAGATGACAAATCACCAGAAATACAAAAAATAAAAAGGCATCATTAATACAGATTAACACATGAAACAGGAATAGACTACTTAGTATCATTTTGCCATGTGTGGTGTGCAACGGGTTAGTCCATTGTGGACAGCCCTCTCTTAATACCAAATGTACCCCATTAACTTAGGCAGAACTGTAAAACAGTGGGGGAAGGATGAATGAGTCAGTAAGA